GTGTCTAACAAACTACTAACGAAACACCTGCCTTGAAAACTGCAAGGACTCATCCAAGCAGTCACTGCAGAGTCAGTAATGACTGAGCGCAGATTTAAAAAAAAAAAAAACTCACAAAAGATAGATGTTCTTTCCAGTATGTATCTTGCTTACATTGTTCCTCACTCTCTCTTTCTCTCTCTCCTGGCTGTTCTTTCTTTTTGAACCCTTCCCAGATGATCTGTTTCTTTTCATATCTCCCAGCTATCTCCCTTCCTTTTATCTCAAGACAAATATTTTTTTTAAACAAGAGAGGAGGGCCTGAAGAATCTCCTCCTAGTTTTGCTCAGGGAAAACTCTTTTTCTTCATCTCTTTCTGGGGGCCAGGATTCCAAAAACGCCCAAAGCTGTCATTCTTTCTAGCCAAAAAGATGATGATGTGGGTCATGTTCAGTGTATGTTATTGCATTTGAAGTTATTATGGATTCTCCCAACTGTTTGCTTAGGCATATCTATATTGGTGATGTGAGAGGTTGGGGAAAGGAATGAAAGTAATAGCAATGGCCAAGTTAGTTGACAGCCCCTCAGCTCATGTGGGTAGAAATGTGGGAAAAAGCATCTCAAAAGATTCAGAGAGGCTCCACCTTAATTAACTCACTGTAAACAAGGCTGGGAAATTTCTATGATCATGCCCAAGATTCTGTATTTATTCCAATTGAGCATTAAAGATGCCTGACTGAAATCTGTATATTCCTTGCTTCCTTGGTCTTGCCCACCTCTGTGGGGCTTGACTGCTGTCTGGTTGAATGTGAAGAGGAAATGTGGTTTGCCCATTCGTTACAACACCTTATTCAGGTAACAGCATGAAATATCTATATATTTTTTAAAAAATCCTTAGCATTATCTTCTGGAACAGAAATTATTATGTATGGGATGTTATCACACCAGGAGTTTCTAAAATCCATAAAATATAAAACATAGGCACCTGAAAAAAGAAGCCTGTCTATTTGTCAGATACATCTGACAGTCACACAAGAGATCAACAGGAGTTAGGCAAGAGAGCCTTGCTGAAAAAGGAACATACTCAAGCAGATTCCACTGACTGATTCTGAAAGGCTCATACATTCTGCCCTTTGATATCACAAACTGACACTCTGGGACAATCCTTGTTTTAAAATTGCTTATGACTTTTCTTGAAACCATGGCCAAACAGGAGTATTAATTCTTTTGATCAGCTTATTAACAACTCAGTTTTTAAATCATCTGAATTATTGCAAGAGAAATTTGGATTATTTAAAGCTGCAAAATGGGAGAATATTTAATTAAAACATATTTAGATTTAATAATTTGGTCCAGATACATTAGGAGTGTCTATAGCTCTCAAATTATTGTCAATATTGAAATGTGTTTTGAATGATTCTAAGTCTATAGTTCTTTTTAAAAAAATAAATAATTAAAAAGTATTACTAAGATAGGTATTCATTATTTGCAAATAATCTATAATAAAGATTTGGAATATCCCATATTAATTAATAAATGGCTTAGGGTTTTAAAGAATATTAAGCTTATTTCTATTAAATAAGTTTCTTATTTAATCTTAAGAGGAGATTAATTAACAAAATATTTTTGTCATATTTATTTGACACTTCAGAAAATGGTTTAGAAGAGTTGGCTATCAACTTCATTATGTTAGAAGTATAAATTTAATAAAAGGATACTTGCTCATAAGATATGGGCTTGTCCCCATATTGCACCATTTTGTTTAATATCCATCATGTAGTTAATATGGTGCTACAAACATCAATATGATATAAAGATGTGTGCCCTTGAATTAGAAATCAAAAACCTGGAAGTATATAATGAATTATTGATTTAGCAAGTATTGAGGGCAGCAACAAAGATTACTCTTTAGTTTTATAAGATAGTGCAGTATTAGATTTTAAAGTTTGGATTGTTGATACAGTGTATGTTTACTTTATCTATATGAAACAACTCTTTATTGATACAATAGAAAGACCAATTAATATATTGAATGAGCAAGGTTTGATGATGTATTTAAAAATTCAGCTAAATTATTTTTCCTATGTAATATACAGTGTAATATGTTTTTATTCTTTTCCCTTTTTCCCTTTTAATTTTTTGTTCTTTATTTCTGATTTTTGTTCTTTTCATTTTTTTCTCTTTTTTGTATAGTAAATTAATAAATAAATACCAAAGAGTTGCTAACCAGTACCTTGTGGTAGTAAACCAATAAGGGGTGCCCACAGTGGGAATTCAAATAGATTGAGCAATCCGAGTTTTACATACTTGTGGTGTACGTAACACATGATGTTCATGTTGTTCAGTGGAATTGGTACAGTAACTGTACTGATCATTTCAAAGAATGGGATTACCTCAGCTGTGAGTTTTATGTATTTTATGATAGTTTTTATATGCTTTTAAATTGTTCTTTTTCTTGCTTTTAAATAATTGCATTGTACTTTCTTGCCATTTTTATATTTCTTTTAATTGTTTATAAGCCACCCAGAGTCATATATGTGAGATGGACAGCTATATAAATTTAAATAAATGAATGAATGAATGAATGAATGAATGAATGAATGAATGAATGAATGAATGAATGA